AATATATATATATATATATGCATGCGTATGTATATAAAAGTGCAATAGGGTGTGTAGTGGGTTTTATTTTTTCGGTTTTGTATGGAGTGATCTGTCGCCATTGAAACTGAATTTCTGCCATTAAACAATGCGCAGCATCTCTGCCTTATTTTTCTGCCTTTGTCGCCATGTTTTAACGTAAAGAAAGGGAAAATAAGGAGAAGGGGTACAAGGAGGGCGGAGACAGACAACTAGAGGCAGATGGCAGCTAACCGACACAACAGCAACGCTTGCACAGTAGAACGTTTTTGCGCTCCAACAAAAAGCATTTGCTGCAGCTAGTGCCCGAAGTATAAAGAAAAAGAAATATCAGCAATCGAACAAATAAAGAAAACTAAAACCAAATAGGGAAGGAAGTCGGCAAGAAACGAAACAAGAACCCCTCGAATGAGAAGGGAAAGAAGGATCACGGCAGCAACAGCATCTTCATACAGGTGTCTAATTATAAGATTATAATAATACACTATTACTGCATTAAGGAATAAAATATGATATAATGCAGTAATAGTATATTATTATTCTGCCCACACCATGGAGACTGCAGCCCTATACACACACGAGTGTGTTGGGTATGGAAGGTTATGCCTGAGGAAAACAAAATCATCATTTTTATCAGTTGTATTCGTTTAATTACCTACTGCAAGGAAAGAACCTCCTCTTTAGTCGCTGCTTCATGCCTCTCTCTCCCTCTTATTTGCACATACGGCATGTATGCTGCCTGCTGTCACCCTGCACATTACATTGCTGCATGCAGGGGAAGCAGCAGGGTCCGGGTTTCTTCTTGTTTCATTACTTTCGCATCTCTTCCTTCCTCCAGGTGACGTCAACCTCATCGGTGCGGAATCTTTGCCTATAGAAGCTCTTAGAAGGGTTAATGGTGCTGCCTTCTTTAAACATCAGCAAACCAACATAGGCGATCATCGCCCCATTGTCAATGCAATAACGCTCATCCATTCCCCCCATCCCGCAGCCACGGCGAGCTGCCATCTGCCGCAGCATCGATTGAAGGCGCATGTTGCAGCCGACGCCACCCACAACCTGCACAGCACACAGAACAGCGACACCAGGAGCAGTGACACCGGCAGCAGCAGGAGTAGCAGCACCAGCAATTGGAGATAGCTGGAGAATTGCAAACTGAATTGTCGGCGAAGGCCGTTGTACTGCTGACGACGTGAATTCAACCAGCGTAGACAAGCAACAGTACCTCCTGCACAGCACTTCTGTCCCTCTGCCTCTCTACCTTTACAGCTTGCAGTGTACGATCACCAAAGCTCTAGACCCACCAATACGTCTGTGCTTTGGCAAAGAGCCATCGCTCTCTCCGTGATTTCTACCAACATCGCGAAGAGGTATTCCTGTAGCGAGTAGCAGATGAACTCGGGTGTCAACGGTACATCATCATCAGAACTGCTGCGGAATCCCTCCCGCGCTCCTTCCCTGTCTTGGCCAGCATCTCCATCAGCAGCAGCAGTATTGCCCCTGGCGGGTTTCCTTGAGTTCGTGGTATTTCTGCTAATGCCTCCACCTTTCTTGGTGCGCATTCGTTTGGCGATTTCTCCCCTTGTGATTTCGAATCCCTCTGGTTGTGCATGTTCCATCTGTGCTGCTTCATTTGTGCAGGTTAGGGCTTTTTCTTGGCTCATTCCCTGCTGACTGTGCATGCGGTGGACAGCCTCCTCTGCCTTTGTGAGGACTCCACTAAAGGCTACATCCATCCCCTTCACGTTGTAGCTGAGTTGTAAGAGTGGTGGGTGTTGAGGGGCATTTGCATGTTGGTGTTTGGTTTTGAATTCTTCTTCAAATTTCTTTGCCAACTGCTCAACTTGAAAGCCAGGGGCGGGATCGTTGGGGAGGCGCAGGAGACGAGCGACTCGATCTATGCAGTTTCCTATGGCTACATCAAGGGTTTCCCCTAATATTCTGTAGCGACCGTCGCTAAAGCCAATAACCTGAGTGTTGCCTCCCGATACGTACAATACGGTGGGGTCTGCACACCCGGTCACCAACCGCCCCATTTCGATGTGCCCGATGCAGTGGTTTACGGCCACCAGAGATTTACCCCAGAGCAGAGCCAAAGTACGAGCAGCGAGAGCCCCTACAGCAAGAGGGGCCCCCATGCCAGGCCCTGCTGTGTATGCTATGCAACTCAACATCTTAGGGGTAACCTGTGCCTCTTTTAAAGCCATACGTATCAATTGGGTTATCTTCGACTGGTGGTGAGCGGCAGTCTCACGCGGGAGGAAACCTGTACCAGGAGGAGTTATAAACGTTGCCCGTGGATTCGCTAATATTGAGCCCGAGTCATCTACTATACCCACACCCACTTTGTTAGCACTGCTCTCTATACCAAGTACTATTACACGACCGCCCGTGGCTGCTGCTGCTTCTCCTACCGAGCCTGCTCCCCCTTCTCCTGCGGCAACAGCTTGTCCTATTCCATCTATAGCTTCTGCTGTTGCTGCTGTCCTCCCTGATGTTGCTGCAGTTGTCGATGCTGCTGCAGTTGCTGTTGATGGGGGGGCCTCAACCTGGACCCCAGACGGGCTGGGCGGAACTGGGGCAGTAGGAGTCATTGCACGACGCACTTTATGAAGCTATTCTTTCCTCCTAATTCGTCAGATGCGTCGACTTTAACTGGTTGTAGCAAGTGGCGCCGCGATTCTGCCTGCCGCACAGGCAGGCACAGTATATGATTCTAGTAGTTGGGTTGACTTCAAAGTGAAATGGTGCAGGTCCTCTGCAGAAACACTCATCTACAGAAGCTGCTGCAAAGAGAACAATGGGGCGCCCGCCTTTGGACATTTCCGCATTTCCGTTGCCGTACGCAAGTGACGATCTGCAGTAATCCGGAGAAAACTGCTGCACGGTTCCCACTGAAAACAGGGATCGTCACACGAGCAGAGAGAGAACCACATGCAATAAAACATACACTTAACAAAACGGAACAAAAGAAAACCATGTACTGTATTGACTCCATCAGAGATACAGTCTCCCTGCTGCCCAAACCCGTATGACGCTTTCCCTGGGTTGCTGCTGTCGCTTGCGCTCCGGTCGCCCCCTTTTCTGCCACTAGACAGAGATCTGCAGTAGCATGAAGCGTTTCCATACGTAATTATTCTCAATGGTATAGCAGATATATCTAAAAAAAAATACAGAAAATTTCAGAAGTCGCAATTTCTGCTATGTGGCAAAGACGAATGCCATCCCATATAGTCTAGGTGGTTAGGATACTCGGCTTTCACCCGAGCGACCCGGGTTCGAGTCCCGGTGTGGGAACACTTTTGCCGATCCTTTTAGGATGTAATTCTTTATGCAGGAAAAGAACATAGCATTGACTGAAGTTGCCATTTCATTGCAAAACAAAACGTAAGGTTATCTTTTCATCTAGACGAACCTGACAAAGTCTACCTCTGTTTACGGAAAACCACCATCCCATATAGTCTAGGTGGTTAGGATACTCGGCTTTCACCCGAGCGACCCGGGTTCGAGTCCCGGTGTGGGAATGTTTTTTTGCACTTGGCAGTTGGGCACAGTAGGCGGCATTGGTTTCTCTTGTCAAACAACCTGGTAGATGCTGGCTCTCCTGCGCGTCTGCGTTCTTATTTGCTCCACCCGATAATCTCCTGTTCTCAGGATATGATGCGATTTGCGGATGCTGCAAGCGCAATATTCAACTTCTGCTCCTGCCTCCAACCACTGCATGTGTCAGAAAAATACTTGCTGGTAGAACACGAACGACTTGGTTTCCTTTGTCTGCATACCCTTCTTGTAAGAAAGCATTAAGCATGATGCGGGCTGTGTGCTGCGTAATGCCAGAAGGAGGGAATCCTGGCTGAGACGAACACTAAAATTGGCGGGATTCCCTCCTAGCCGTTGAACTCCAGTGCATTTCATTGACTGCAGAGTTCTGCACCGTTGTGTTCTTCAGCCGTCTGCAGCTGCATAAAATGCCTGTCACCCCGTACATGCGAGTGGCTGTACTCCTTCTCGATCAAGCCACAATTAAATGCATCTGGGACACAAAGCTGTCGCCTTGCCTTCGGCAACATTCTAGGGGGCCGCACCAGTTTGCCGTCAACCGATGCTCAGAGTATCTGCTCACGCGACCTTAAGGGAAGTTTAAGTGGAAATTTTGGAACAGACATGTTTTCGTATGCTCAATTTGTTCACTCATATAGCCGTAATAGCATTTGCCTAAGAGAGGAAAATACCTCTTTTCACGTAGATTAATTTCTCCGCGTGGCTGCACATACACCCCAACGCTGTTTAAGTATACTCAAGCTCAGCACAATCGTCGCCAGGAATATGACAGGCACATTGAGTGACATCGATGAGGCAACTTTTGGTAATAGCCCTCTTCTTCGCGCTCAATGCTCGTGCGCTGGAGTTCTCCCTTGTTTCTGAGTCCTCGAGGTTCGGCCCTCCAGGTTAGACTGAACGTCAGCGTTGCCTGTACAGCCGAATACCTCTTTTCCACCCTCAGGTCGCCATGGAATTGCCGCTGCGGTGATGGGAGATGTTCCATATCTATTTGGTGGTTGCACGATTGAGGGTCAGTGAAAACATCAATTCTTGATGATTCGCAGGCTTCTCGGGGTTGTAGGAACTCCCTTTCCCGAAAATCGCTCGGGCGTTACCATGCTCTATTGAATTTATCTTTGCCTTTTTTGAATCAAAACCATCTGCATTCAGATGTCTGCTCGGATGAGCTGTACGCGTTCCATACCTCAACGAGTTCTTGGGAATTCTTGCACGTCCGAGGCGACGCTCCCTCTGCGCGGGGCGGTGCCTCTTTGAATGCAGTTCGAAGCTCGCTGGTGCTGTTTGGGGGAGAATCATACGAAGGGACATTCAACGAAGTATACAAGTTTGGTAGGCGAACAAGAGAGTGCTGTGCAGTGGCTCATTATGAAGTCCAGTCGTTGCATTTCCTAGACACAATGTGGCGCAAATGGTACATTGGCGTTGGGCCCGAGAACTTCCGCCCAGGTAAAGAGTGCTGCGCGGTTACTCTATGTAGTATCATTGAAATCGAACAACTTCAGAACCCCGCAGTGGCCATGCAGCAGCATCGGATGGCGAGAAGATATACATCTTCGGGGGTTACAATGAGGTGCGCTGTGCGTCTCTGTGTAATATCAGACTCGTCCTTTTGCACGTTGTTCCTCTTAGGCTGGACGTTTTCTTAATGACTTATGGGTCATTGACTTGGACTCGGTGAGCCACCTGCTGCACTGTCACGCGCCTCTCTTCTTCAGTGTTATCCGCAGGACATGAGAGATTTAAGCGCTGAGCAGTTTCCCGTTCGCTTTCACGCTTTAGTCCATAGTAAGGATTTTGGCTACTGATGGGCAACTTGCTGCTGCTAGTAGATAGGTTAATTGTGACTCTGTGCACGAAGGCTCGGGGGAGACCCCGCCCCCACGAGAAGGAGCGACGCTGACGTATCTTAACGGACATTTGTTTCTGTTGGGTGGTTATGGTGCAGCGGGTGATGCAATATTCCTGTTAACACCATTTGTCGCTTCTAGATTATTTGTTTTCCTCTTTTTTTGCGCGACTGCAGGCCTCCATGCCAGTGACTTGTAAGGCGCTGTTGGTGGTGCGTTGCTGTATGAGAGATATTTAGCGAAAGCGCAGATGGGTGTACAGCCTGGCGGAGGATAAGTGGCTTCGAGCTCCTGTTAGAGGCATCCAGCCGCCGGCTAGAGAGGGTACGTCATGTAAATCCCCAATATTTATTCGCGCTGTAGTTTGCTAGCTGCAGGACACATCGCTGTCAGAAATGGAAGCAACGTGAGCTGAATGCACTGGTCGTGGCTTGTTCTCCCTTCTCCCCTTAACTGTTTGTCTCCAGATCGTTGTAGCAGGAGGATGCGACTCACGCCGAAACGTCCAAAGGTGCTACAAGTAAGCAGCATCATCAACGTACTTGCATGCATGCAATCATACGATACAACACAACAAAAGAAAACACAATGAACACAACAACAACTTGAATGTTATGTATATGAATGTGAATGTTATGCCACAGTGACGTGTGGGAAATGGACGCCCAGAAGTACACCTGGACGCTCTTGTCCGCTGGAGATCCCAAGTTTGCACCTCGCGAGCGCCACGGGGCCGTTATATTGAAAGGTTGGATGAGAGTTTCCTGCTGTCGCCCCGATGGAAGAGTGGCTTCACTGCTTATGAGGAATCAGGAGGGAGGGTGCTGCTGTTCTGCGGCAGAAAGCTGAGCGCCCTGGACTATTCCAGCGTCGTGTCATTCAAAGTAGCAGTACGTCCTGTCGTGCAGCTGCAGCTGCAGCGGTGACATAGCTAACGAAAAACTCACTTCATTCATCTCCCTTGCTTGCCACAGCCCTGCGGTGGGGGTGGAATATGTTCTGGGCAAGGGGCCTGCGCTACTGGCTCCTGTGTTTGCCGTCCTGGCTGGGCGTCTCACGACTGCGGGGAGGTCCTTGGTATTTTCGCACGCTGTTGTATGATGACATTTGGCGAAATTTAGTTCTTTTAGGTGTTTGACTGCCCGAGAAAATGCAACTTCTCTGGCGTCTGCATCGACGGATCTTGCAAATGCTTTCCGCGGTTCCACGGAAACTCGTGCTATCGGGTATGCTTTTTTCGATATTTTGTCTGCTGTAGAATCTGCTGTGAGACTGCTGTCACTGCAGGTCCTGTGCCCCGGGTCAGGAATCAACGGCATGTGCAATGGCCAGGGCGAGTGCCTGCCTTCTGGAGAATGCGCATGCAAGTACGTACAGGTCGTGATGCTTCAACATGCCTATGTTTTCCAACTTATCCGCTGTTCCAGGCCGGGATTCAAGGGTATGGTACTAAACCATCAGGATCGGAACGCAACTCAGACACCGGAAGACAGGCCTGAGCTGCGACATAGACATTTGGGGGGCTGAAGAAAGAGAGCGGAGGGCGAAAGGGATTAAACGACAGTCCGTCGAACACCCAGCGCCGAACCTTCCAGCTCTGATGGACTTTGATCTGAAAGAACAGAGTAAGGAAAAGGACATCGGGTGTTGTGCTGCTCAGGCCTTTCGTGCTATGCCTTACATGAACTCTAGTATTACTAACAAATACTCAACTTCAGTGCAAGCCATTTGGAGGGACATCGTTCGAGAGGCGGGGGGAGTGAGGCAAAATGCCCCTAATAGAATTTCCTTCGTTTCCTTTACAGTTGAATCCATCAACAGAGCCTACCACCAATGCCGCAAGTCGGTGAACTGCGAGGCACGGTAACAGGCGCCAGTAAGATTTTTTAGGGTTAAGGGCTTATGGTTTAGGGTTGTGATCTGAAGGCTTGGCATTGCGGAGGCCTATTTTTCTATGCTTCAGGCGGCGGTCTACAGTGGAGCTTGCATTGGCCAGAGGCCAAATTGCCCTGTAAGGATGAATTGCCCATGTGCATACATGTATATAATATTAGTGCTTGCTGGGGTTTTCAGCCGCAGCTGAGATTAAGGAAAGGCTACAAGTTTTGGCCGAAGAGATGCAGGAGCATTTGCCATCGATTTCAACTTCTGTGCGCCTTGGAATGATACCTGTCTCACTTGGTGTAGCTGTTGGCACGCTGTACACCATGTACAGAATCAACAGGTCGCGGCACTGAAGCGGCATTTTCGAGCTGTGCAGCTAGCCAGCGCACCATTCAATTTTGGCTCATTTCTAACAACCAAGGTGTCAAATTGGGAAACTAGGTAGGATGCAGTAGATGCCGAAAGGCAGTCAAGAAGCTTAATTCAGGTCCGATGGCAAAACATCAACCAACACAACGCAAGACTCGCCCTAGCTTTCTTGCGCTCTTTGTTTTGGCTCTGCTGCGCCTACCACTGTTGGTGTCACTGCTGCTGCCTGCCCGTTTGTCTGCCTCTTATCGGTTTTTGGCGGAAAACTACTAGCAACTGCCCTGCTGAAAACCGCATGGGCCGACGGATGCAGTGTCATGCCTGTAGGGGCTACGCAGCAGTCTGCGACAGCTTCAGCCTTGAAGTGTGTGGATTTTTAAACGTCTTCCTCCTTCCCTATAGCGAAAATTCGCTTAGCATGAGCCTCAAAACACATGAACCATGCTGAGGGAACAGCCGCATGCTATCACCACCTCGTCTTCTCCGTACGCTGCCAGGCAAATGGGATCGTCAGTAGGTCCTTCAAAGGCACGCGGAAGATTTGGGTGAATGCCAGATTGGCCAACAGTGGCCATAGAACCCGCAATCAACTGCAGAAGCAGCGCCTCTCCTCCTGCAGGAACAACAGAAAGCATTGCAGTGCATAGAGCACAAAGATAAATGGTGCCATTGGATGCTGCTGCTATATATTTAAAATGTAGCGTCTAGTTTCACTGTATATATATATATATATATATATA